TAGCAGCGGTGCCCGACAACTTTCTTCTGAATAAATGAAAACTATGTAACACAGTTGTTTATACTTAATTTAAAAAAAAATTTGACCAAAGGAAAACCAGAGCAGGACTAAAGAGATGTGAATATGATTTAGATTTTTATTTCTGTGACTGCCCACAGGAGACACAACATTAACAGCAGTCATTATTTCATCCCTTTGCTTTAGCAGCTCCTTTAATTCCACAGCTGACGCTGCTAAAAATGACAGATTTTATTTTCTGGATCTTTGTGAGCAGAATTTAAATCTCTGAACTCGTAAAGTTCTTCTTTTTACTTTGTGATATCATTTAATGGACACTTCCTAGTTTGTGGGGCAGGAAACATAGCCTAATATGGTATTTTTAGGGTGGTAATTATGCATTATTATGATAATCATTCATCAGTTTACGCTGCTCATTTACACACTTTTCCTGAAAATAGAAGAGTTTGTTGAATCTGACATGAACAAAAGTAAGAGAAATTTAGGATAAGAATACGAAAATGTTCTTGCATGAGGCCCAATGCTCATAAATGTGCTTCATTGAAGAAGAGCCAGGAGGGATCCACTATTGGCAGAAAAACACAGAAAGCCAGATTGGAATTCACCCAAAACACTTGTTGAAAAGCCCTAAAGTTTTTGGTACAAGTGTCTGGGAGGGAAAGAGACAAAACTGCAGCTTTTTGTCAAGTACATCAATTTTTTCCTGTTATTTTTAGGATACCAGCAAATGTATCTGAGTCTATATATTTAAACCCCAACAGATGGCAGCAGAGAAAAAAATATAGCAAGTACAGACACAGCATTTCCAGTTAAATATGAAGGTGTTATGATTTAAGGTAATCCACTAAAATGCTCACCTGGACTGTTTGTCGGTCAGATAGTCCACTGTAAACTGATATCTGAGGAACTGCCTGTCTTCCTGTTGTGGCGCTACCACTGGCATTACTGCTGGTAACATTATTACTGCTACTGGTGGAAGGGGTAGAGGAAGCGGTGGTGGTGTTAGAGGTACTGCTGCTGCTAACAGCTGTGGAGCTGGAAGCGCTGGTAGTGGTGGAAGAGGTGGTGGAGGAGGAAGAGGAGCTGCTGGTGGTGGAAGTGGTTCCAGCACTGCCGGCAGTAGAGGCAGGGGCCCCAGGTTCACTCTCCATGGTGCCCTCTGCTCTTCTCACCTTTGACCCCCGGCTCTTCTGAATGGCTCTCCTGTGCCTTGAAGACAGGGAGGAGAAAAAGGGAACGCATGAAAAAAAAAGTAAAAGCAGCACTACATACAATAGTTTCTTTGAGCACAAACTCATGAAATGGGTTTCTGGCAAGTAAAAGTAGTGCAACATAATTTGTCACTTCATTGTGCAAAATTAGCTAATGGCAAAAACGTGTTTTAAACATCTGTAATTGTAATTGACAACTCTCTTTTAGGAAAACAACACCTCAAACGTTCAATGAGAAACAAGTGAAATATCAAAAATGACAACTTTTAATTACCAGATTGTTTTTATTTAACCTTTATAAAAAAAACAAAGATCATTTCAAGTTATGTGTCTGTGTGTAACAAAGAAAGTAATTTATTAAATGTAAAATTTATATAAAAAGTAAGAACAGTCAGTGCTTGTTTCTTTTATTATTGCATTATGAATGCATATTTATATGTATAGCAACTGTCTGTACTGTAACGTTAAAAGCACCAAACAAGCCAGGCAATTTTTTCCAAAAAAATGACAACTCACAAAAAAACCTGACGGTTTTTCTTCTTTTCCTGTCAATCGTTTTGACAGTAAGGGTAAATCTACTCAATCTCTTTTGACAACTGGTATAATAAGGTTGGAATAAAAAGACTTCTATTTAGGTGATGGGATTRCTAACATTGAGGTCAAAGGTTATCGCATTAAGTTATTTTGCCTACAAAAGAAAAAGATCCAGAGAGGATTAAAGGCTCAGAACACAAGCTGAAGGTTTGTGGGCTGGACTGGAAGGAAGGTGTGATGGAAGTAATTAAATAAGGAGCAATGTTGATGCCATGCTGCAACTCTGAAGCCATTTTCTTTCACTCATTGTTTTCAATTTGAGAAACTACCGTATTTTCCGCACTATAAGGCGCACATAAAAGCCTTAAATTTTTTCAAAAGCTGATCATGCGCCTTATAATCCGGTGCGCCTTATATATGGATCAATATTGAGCCGCAACAGGTCTGGCAACCACGGTAAGACGACTCC